TTGAATGTACCCTTAATGATCCAAAAGTGTTTAATGTAACTTTAAAAGAGGTCTTCTTTACTTGGCAAGATTATATGGTGACTATCTAAGCTCTAGGCATTGTAGTTTCTTTGTTTGTTGATTTTTTTAAATAACAACAACGACACAGGTTTTTAAAAACTGTGTTCCTCGTGAGGGCCTTTAAATCATGCTCCTGCAGTCCAAAATGGCTTTACCTGTCACTTTGTTTACATTGACTTATATAATAAAATTCTTCTCCGAAACTACAGTGTATAGAGAAGAAAATATATCGTATATCATCACATTGTGATGCTATATAAAGATTATGAACTATTTTGGCATAGGGTCAAAATCACTTAGTTTACATGGACTCTTATTGGAATATAGTTATATGAGTCTTTTTGTAGTTCTGAGAGCCTAGTTATTGGGCATGTTTCTTTTCAAATAGTATATAAATCATGACTGTATTTGGTGAAAAAAGATACTCCTTATATGATTTTAGCATTCTTCAGTATTAAAGAATTATAGACCTTAAAATTCCAGCAGTGGATCTTAGGCGAGTGATCTAGGGTCAACTATTCTCTATTGTTTAATGGGGAAAATAAAGTATGATTACATTTAGTTTATATTCCAAATCATAAGCTATGTTATGTGGGTCAAGCTGTTTTATTGATACCCATTTTAGCACACATAGATAATATCAGTCGCCTTAATTTTTGTTTCTTTTGAAAATATCATGTCTACATAAGTTATTAGAAATGGACAGTACTAACTCAATTATACTTGGTTACAAAGATGTTCAAGTAAATATAACTTTGAATCATTCTGTTACAAGCATTTAGCAAGACTAAATTGTCCAGGAAATAATTTTATTCATAAATAGACAACATTTCACTCAGGTCAAGGCATGATTTTATCTAACATATGGTTCGTTGATGAATATTCAGTCTTCTTTCTGTACAATTATCAAATTATATTAAGAATATTGAAACAACTTATATCATGCAAACACATTTAATAACTGAATGTATACATATAATTGTATCTGCATTTATTGATATTTTAGTACACCCTCTAGACCTAAAGGAAGACCAAAATACCTTAATACAATAAAATACTTTTACAGTGAATATTTGCATAAGAATTCATAAAAGACGTTATTTTGTACTACAATTGTCTGATATATTTACCCCACCCACTTTGAATAAGTATAAAACCTTCACATTTTTTGTTTTTGTTACAATTATACAGTAAAACATAGTGTTGATTCAATATCAAATACACTTCTAGAAACTATGTAACTTTTGGAATTTTGTACATAGACCTAGAAAACCATGTTAGAGAAAAATGCAAAAAGTGGCACTTTTTCTTTGATATTGTTAAAGATTTTTTTTTGTACAAAAAACTAAAAACATGACTAACAATGTGGTTAACCTAAAATTTGATTTTTATTTTGATATGTTTAACAATTTTATATGGAAATAAGCATACTGTGTGCAAAAAATTATACTACAAAAGAGATATATCAGTTTTCATTAAAATTGGCAGCCATATTGGACGCCATCTTGGATTCTGAAGAAATATGCAAGCGAAATTGCTGAAAGATTTAAATATTTGAAAAGGGGAAACTATATGCATGCTTTGGTGTAAGTTTCAAGTCTGTACAAAAAATTGGAATGAATGAGCTATTATGTACGTCAAATTTATATGGCGGCCATCTTGAAAATGGCGGCCATCTTGAATGAGCAGAGATATTTTTGGGCCCACTTCACTTTTGAAATCTACATGGTCTAAAGATAATTTCCTGAAAGTTTCATGCTTGTATCACAATTTGCACTATTTTGACAGCAGAGACCTTATTTCCCGCCCCACTATTAATGTAGTTCGAATTCGAGAAATTATCTAATGATGCGCATCCGAATGCATATTTGGATATATTATTTAGATTCTTACACGACATTGTTTCCGCACTTATTTTTAGCGCGTCGCATTTTCAATGGGTATGTCACATATCTAATGGTTACGTCATCTGTCTAGATATAGAACGTCAACGATTTTACAAACTTTCGTTTCTATTATGTGCAATGTTTAAACGTGTTTTTATCAAATGTCTTTATTACACATCTGCGCCTTTGTTTATGAGATAAATATGAAACAATGTATTTCATGATTGTAAAAAAAATATTCAAGAAAGAAATGTGAAAAAATGTATTCATTGTTATAACTGAGATAATGTTAAAGTAAGATATATGAAAAAGGTATTTATGACTGTGCTTACTAAGATAACTTTAAATATTAAAGTAAGATATATGAAAAATATATTCATGAGTTTGATAACTTAAATAATATTGAAGCACCACTAAGATTAAAAGTTTAGTTAATACATATTTATATTAGTTTGATTGTGTTGTAAGCTATTAACTTATTGAAACGATATCAGATCCGTTTCCGGAACAACCAGAACCAAACAATGAGTGACTTTCATATGAAAAGCTTTCACCCCACGCGGTCAGCAACCCTTACATTATAAGTCCGACGGGTTAACCATTCGGCCACTCAAAACACGTTGTAAACAGTATGAAATGTTTACATTATTTTTACATTTATTACACAAACTATCAGGCAATATGGTTGATATTTTTGCTAAGGTGGAGAGGTTTGGTGTACTTGTGTTACTTGCAAGCAATTGGAATAATTTGTTCAGCATTTTGCGACGTCTTTAATGTTTTGCGTGAGCATTAAGATGTATAGTGTCTTTTTGTTATTGTCCAAGCGCATACTATCCTTGGAAATGTTTACAAACGATATGTGGGGTAATACTTGTTAATTCTACCTGTTCCCAATAAAGTTGAATTCATTAAACTAATCATCTTTTTTAAATGACAGCGAACATTAAATCACACAAAAGCAAGGACGTTAAATCAGAATGTGCAATGTTACATGTACAATAAAGCGACGCTTTCTAATCGCCCATGGGGTCATTGGTTTTTATTATGTACACAAAGTAAAAACTTAGAATATCTTGTTGTCAGAAGGAACAAGGCTCATAGCTATGATATTTTTTGGTATGTGATATTATCTATAGGTCTTCTACTAAAGTTCAAAATTAGCCCTGCCCCGGGGGATTCATAGGTTTTCTATATAATATTATATGTATATAGTAAACAAACCTCAAAATCTTCTTTTCTGAACTGACAAAGGCTAGAGGCATGAAACATTGTGTAGGGGACCGTTACCAAGACTGTTTAAATTATAGCCTTGGGGTCAATATTGGCCCCGCACCATGTTTCATTGATTTCATTATCTAAATATTAAAAACAAAAACTAAACAAATGTTTTCTGAATAGGAGAAAACAGGAGCATGAGACATTGTCTGGTGGATCTGTATCAAACTTGTTTGAACTTAACCCTTGGATTGAAATTTTGCCCTGTCAAAAGGGAGAATGACCTACTTTCTTGTCACTTGATGAACAACCGTGACATTTGAACCATGTGCAAAGTTTGGGAGGAAAAATTTAATTTTAATATAAGCTGACCTTGATTTGTTACGTGTGATCTACTTTCTTGTCCTATGGTAAACAGCTATGATATTTGGACCATGTGCACAATTTGAAATGTAAATAGAACTTTGATATAAGCTGACCTCGATTTTGATGATATGAACTTCTTTTTAGTCATGAAATCTAGGCCATGTGGAATATAACATTGACCACTAGACTCAACTGCATTATTTGCAAAGTTCAGTTGTAAAGAAACAAAAAAAATCTTCTGTTCCTAACCTACTATTGAATGTTGTATTACATAATGTGGTGGTAAAGCATTTTTTCACAAATGCAATCTGGTTTTCATGTTTTCCGAAGTGTGAGCATATAGTCGCCGCTTTGTTCGTCCGTCCGCTCTCACGGGGCAATATAATGTTGCTAGAGGGACACTAGGTAACTATTGTTTCTCTTTGATGTCATTCATACCGTTATGATTCTATGTGGCTATTTTCTTTTGTGTGACTACAAAGAACAACAGAGAGAACAAAAGAGTAGCCACATTATTACTGTCCCGTTAGAACGTCCGTCCGTCCGTCCGCTTTTCTTGTCCGGGAAATAACTTGGAAACAACAGGAGGTATCAACATCTATTTGTAGGTAGATATATCTCATTTAGTAGGTGTGCATTGCACTATAACCGTAACTCTGCCTTGCCTATTTTTTTAATTATTGCCCTTTGTTTATTTTAACACTTTGAACTCTGTCCGGGACATAGCTCTTAAACTATAAGAGGTATCAACATGAAACTTTGTAGGTAGTTTGATATCATGGAGTAAGTGTGCAGTGCACCAGAAACGTAACTTTGCCTTGCCTTATACTTGAAACATTGTCCTTTGTTTATTGTCCTGGACATAACTCTAAAACTATAAGAGGTATCAACATGAAATTTTGAAGTTGGATAAATCTTATTGAGTAAGTTTGCAATGCACACGAACCGTAACTTTGTCTTGCCTAATACTATTATTGTCAATTATTGTCCTTGTTTATTTTTACACTATGAACATTGTCCGGGACATAACTCTAAAACTATAAGAGTTATCAAGATGAAACTTTGCAAATCAATAGATCTCATTGAGTAGGTTTGCAGTGAACAAGAATCGTAACTATATCTTCCCTAATTTGGGAGTTATTTCCCTTTGTTTATTTTTACTTTACGACTTTTGTCCGGGACATAACTCTTAAACTATTAGAAAATGGAACTTTGTAGGTAAATAGATCTCATTGGATAAAACTGCACTGCTAAAGTACCTAAACACAGCCTTGTCTAATTTTGGAGTTATTGCTTTTTTTTTTACTTTCCTGTGTCCAAAACCTTCTCGGGGAGCATCACCCGGTTCAACCGGTTCTTGTTTTATTAGTTTGTCCTTAAAAATTCACCTTGGATCATTACTATTTTATACTTACAATTATAAATAAATTAATTTAAAACACTAGATGTTATATTTGTTTTATATTTTAGAGAAAATAATACCTTCGACTCCAAAGAGGAAAGTACCTGTACGGTATGATGATCATGATCAACCGTCGATTCGTAATCGGCGGCTAACGCTCACAGAGCAGAGGTCACCTGATAGGGAAAATTTACTAAGGATGGCTTCAATGCAACCTTTAGTGAGTTCATCACCGCCTATATCACCTACATCTACGACAAGAGCAAGACCGTCTTCACCCACTCCAAGGGCATCTACACATCCGGATAGGCCATCTTCATCCACTCCGGCTGAGCTATCTACAACAACCACGTCAAGAGCATCTACACCTCCGGCTAGGCCATCTACAGCCACGCTTATGGCACATACACCTCCGGCTAGGCCATCTACACCAACTCCAAGGGCACTTACGCCTACAGCTAGTCCATCTTCATCCACAACAAAGGCATCTTCACTTCCGGGTAGACCATCTACATCCACACCATCTCCGGCAAGACCATCTTCGCCCACTCCAAGGGCAACTTCACCTACGACTAGACAACCTTCACACACGCTTATTGCACCTACATTTACGGTTGAGGCACATACACCCACGCCAAGGGCACCTTCACCTCCGGCTAGGCCATCTTCACCCACTTCAAGGGTACCTACACATGCAGCTAGTCCTTCTACAGCCACAACAAGGCCATCTACACCTCCGGGTATACCGTCTACATTCATGCAAAGGGCACATACACCTCCAGCAAGGCCATCTTCACCTACTCAAAGGGCACCTACACCTCCGACTAGTTCACCTACATCCACGGTAAAGGCACCTACACCTCCGACAAGAGAACCTTCACACACTCTTATTGCCCATACATCTACTGTTGGTGCACCTACACCCACTCCAAGGGCACCTACACCTCAAGCTAGTCCATCTACATCCACATCAAGGGCACCCACACCTCCGGGTAGACCATTAACATCCCCGCCAAGGGCACATACAACTCCGGCTAGGCCATCTTCATCCAAGTTAAAAGCACCTTCCCCTCCGGCTGGACAATCACCAACGCTTATTGCGCCTACATCTCCGGTTGGGGCACCTTTATCTGCACCAAGGGCACCTACACCTCCAGCTAGTCTATTTTCACCAAAGCCAACAGTTGCTTTACCTCCAACTACGGCACCTTCACCACGGCATGTGACTACCACGCCAAGGGGACCTACAGCTACGGCTTGTCCATCTTTACCAATGCCAACAAATGCTATACTTTCGGCTACACCTCTGGGTAGACCATCTTCATCCCCGCCAAGGGCACAAACAATTTCGGCTGAGCAATCTTCACCCACGTTAAACTCACCTTCCCTTCCGGCTACGCAATCTTCACAAACGCTCATTGCACCTATATCTCCGGTTGGAGCACCTATATCCACGCCAAGGGCACCTACATCTCCGGGTAGTCTTTACTCACCAACGCAAATAGTTGTTATACCTCCGGCTACGGCACCTACACCAGCGGCTGTGACACTCACGCCAAGAGCATCTACACCTCCGGCTAGTCTATATTCATCAACGCCAACAGTTGCTTTACCTCCGGCTACGACACTTACACAAGCGCATGTGACACCCACGCCAAGAGAACCTTTATCTCCGGCTAGTCCATCTTTACCAACGCCAACAGTTCTTTACAAACGACAACCTCCCGCTACGGCACCTACACCATCGCCTGTGACACTCACGCCAAGAGCATCTACACCAACACAAATAGTTGCTATACCTCCGGCTACGGCACCTACACTAGCGCCTGTGACACCCATGCCAATGGCACATACACCACCGACTAGCCCAACTTTACCAACGCTAATTGCACCTACATCTCCGGTTGGATCACCTATATCCAACCCAAGGGCACCTACACCTCCGGCTAGTCTTTATTCATCAACGCCAACAGTTTCTTTACCTCCGGCTACGGCACCTTCACCACCGCCTGTGACACTCACGCCAAGAGCACTTACACCTCCGGCTAGTCCATATTCACCAACGCCAACAGTTGCTTTACCTCCGGCTACAGCACCTTCACCACCGCCTGTGACACTCACGCCAAGAGCATCTACACCTCCGGGTAGTCTATATTCACCAACGCCAACAGTTGCTATACCTCCGGCTACGGCACCTACACCACCGCCTGTGACACCCACGTCAAGGGCACCTACACCTCCGGCTAGTCATTCTTTACCAACGCCAACAGTTCTTTACCAACGCCAACCTCCCGCTACGGCACCTACACCAGCGCCTGTGACACCCACGCCGAGGGCACCTACACCTCCGGCTAGTCAATCTTTACCAACCCCAACAGTTCTTTACAAACGCAAACCTCCCGCTACGGCAAATACACTACCGCCTGTAACACCGATACATCAACAAGCGGATATGGCAGAGCAACTGACAAGGGACCAAGGTAAGAAACAACCAATACTTAGTGTCAAAGCTATGTCAGGAGAGTGTGTCCCTACAAATATTTTTAAAAAAACACAGTGTCAATAAGTGGAAATGCGAAAGGACTTCAATTATCAATATTGCTCAATAGTAGTTTGCACTTATCGTCATTACTGTTCAGATTGTAGCAAAAACCACCGAGTGCGATAGTACCGGAATCTAAAATATATGAGTATGAAGTATCAGATATCTTGAAAAGGATCTTTCTAATGATATTTCTAAAATTAACTGCATTAACGGTGTCTTGAAAATGTTTTAACTCTGTCTCTATCACCTTAAATTTGTGTATACTAGCATGTTACTGTTTTTTATGATGTTTTTCAATTCCCATAACTGTCAAATAATTCCAATTAAATATCTTTCGGGCGTACCACAAACATCCTTTTGTCATATTCATTCATATTTTAATAAATTAAAGTGTTTATTGTGACCCAAATGAATTGCGGCAATCACAAATTATTTGCTTGATTTCATCATTCCAAGAACAATACTGGTATGTTGTTGCTAGATAGAGATTTGCTGAATGTAATAGACTTAAACATTTTTGGTATATAACAGGTTGCTATATACATATTTTACATTCTTTTATAGAGTTGTAGAGTTGCTTTAAACAATTTTGATGAATCTAATTGAATTACAACTCTAATTACGAAAATATAGCAATGCAAGAATGCGATAAAGTAAAATGCTAAATTGTGTAAAAAGAAAAGTAGCTTTATAAAAAAGTGAGCACAGATCTCCGTATATATTTTGAAAAGAAACACAGCCTTAACGTAAAACTAAGTCGCTAAGGGATTGTTAATATATAAAATGTTCTTGCAAACAACATAAAGACCTACCTTTTTGATATTTATTGGCCTGCTTATTTTTCTGACCTATTATGACCTTGAACATTAATACACCATACAGGTCAAATTATTTATATTAACTTACGTTGCCATAACTTTGTTATTTATTTATGAATTTGCTTTATTCTTTGACAAAACAGGCTATGATGATTACTTCAAAAGTGACAATAAAGTTAGTATATTTTCATTAATATAATATTTTCAATGAGTTTGGCCTTAGAAGTAAGAAGAAAATCGATAGCTTTGTATGGACTGATGTATAGGACAACACATGTTGTCTTTTTGTGGATAAAAATATCTCTTTTTTGGCATATAACAATGACTGTTAGACCTCTATAATCGTTTTATAAATCATAAACTTCGGTACACTTGAGCGTAAATCATGGAGATAATACAGTATCGTAAGGATAATTAAGATGAAACATTGTTCAGACAAGTTGATTTATTTGGCTCTAATTGAAAGATTATTCTTGATAACACAAACCTATTTACATATATAAAATAATCTGGAAACAAATTGACCCCCAGGAAGCATTTATCACAACAAATAACATGAAAATTGCAGACTCGGTTTGATGAGGAATAATGAATAAGTGCAACACCCCTCTTGAGTCTTTAAGTTCTTGTAACAAAAAGGAACTGTATTAGTTAGAAAATTTAGATTAATAAGATATACAGAAATACAGTAATTTTTGATATTTTTGCAATATATCTTAGAGGTTTGTGGCTTATAGATGAACTTAATTTTTGTCATTCGCAGTCAGGAATGATCATAAGGACTCATTTTAAATATGATAATAAACAGAAAGCACATGTGAAGACGTAACATTGTTAAATTGATTTTGGTTGTTTAAATAGTATTAGGGGCATACATATGTTTGCTTTCAATTGAAGTCATGGTTGGTTTTCCTAAAAACCTTTAAAAAATCAGTCAAATATATTTCTTTTTTTCTAGATCCCGTGATTGCACACGGGACACATTTGAAGAACAACAAATACCGTCAGTGGGTAAAGGCAGGCCTAGGCTTAGGTTATCTAAAAGAGGGATTAGTACAATTTTGTGCTGATATAGGAGAACAGCAGCACAAAGATATCATAAACCAAATTCAAGCAACAAAGACTCCGAAACCAAATGTACCATGTGGCGTCTGTCAGATAACAACCCTTCAGCCAGACCACTTACAAATATCAAAAGGAAAATGCCCCTTTAATCAAGATAAATGTAACTGTTGCTATCCAAAACAGAAGAACCCCTGTCCAAACAACGTATGTGGTGCCATCTATGACAACATTCTACAGAATCATGCATCACATCCACCGGCACCTTTTTGGAAAAACAGCGATGCCCGTCATTGGTCCGTTGACCCATGGAGCATTTGCAAATGTTTTATAAATGCTCCTGGGTACAATGACAAGACATCAGCAGACAATACGGACTGTGCAGGGTTACTTCATGTTATCATAAATAACAAATATTTTCATAATCATATTGGATGCAATGTTACAGTGCATAACAATCTCTTTTCAAAGGTTAATCCTTTTTAATACTATCTGTTTATGTTTAATTGAATATTTAGAATTAATGTTATAAGAGTCAACCCGTTGCTGCTCCAAAGTGAAGATAAGATCTTTTACTTTGATAAGAATATGGACTTGCTTGTACAGTAAAGCCTTATATTCTCTTCCTAAACATAAATATAACTTAACCAATTATTGCCATTTTGTAGGGTTCTGCCCTTTTTATGTATGAGACTCATGTAGTTTTCTTAAAAAACTTTTTAACTAAATGAATTTGTATGCAACAGATTATATTTTTGTAAGGTGTAAATGTTTAAGCCCGGCTTTAAACTTACGTTGTTTTCGCGACCCTTACTAGTTTGGGTAAGGTAATATATTTATAAAAGTTATGTTACCATAATCTTTCTGTGCAGTCTAACTTTGTGCTCGATCTAGCGTTTGACTGAACGGACCGAGAAGATGCATTTAGGTATCGCTCTTATCAGTTTTAATTCTAAACTTAAGAGCCTGGTTTAGTCTCAGTGCTGAGTAAAGTATAATTAAGCGTATATGTTAGACGTAGATTTGCTTTCAATTCAATAGGTAAGACAGTATAGAAATAAGATTTTCCACTCAAGCAGTATGGAGTTAGAGGAAAGAGTGGCAAACTCTTATATAGATGATATGATAGCAGTTCTACAAGATGGTAAGGAACTTGTTCATCATCATGCTGCACAACAAGCTTTGGGGAAACTCCAAGATGTAAGTGTAAATAATGAATATATGTAAAAATTTGAAATCCTAATGGGGTTTAGAAGCATATTAAGGACATATTAAGAGTAGTTGGAACACTGTTGTAAGTGGCTTCATAATTGTTAATTTAAGTTAACATACATCGATGAGATCAAACTTAAATACCTATGAAACGTTAAAATATAAAAACACAGATATTTGGATTTATATGTATAGATAAGAATGAAAGTGAAGAAATTAGAATAGTCTGACAAACAGACACCTATACCATACATCCAGTTGTAAAGGTGGAATTTAAAAGTCCTCAGAACAAATATGAAAGATAAAATAAAATAAGATTAAGCTTATTTTGAACTAAAGTCTGACGTTATTATGGAATGTTTAACGTTGCAAAATTCAATAAATTAAACTTTTGTTCTATATTCAATATTTATGTTGCAAAGTTTTATTTTTATATTCTATAACCTAATATTTATCAAATCCATCGAAATATTTGTTCACGTAAAATTATATTAGTGCAATAATATTTCATATATATGATAAAAACAATAAAAAAATGTTCTATATTTCTGAAAATATATTGTATAATTCAAAATATATATTGTAAACTGAACAATATTTATTTGATAATTTGAATCATGGGATAGAATCTTAATTTTCTTACACGTCATTTACTTGGTTAATTAAAATCAAAATGGCTGCATCCATGTCTATCTGAAATGTGTGCTTAGTTTAAGGCGGTGCCTAATTTGCTAAGTGTACATGCACTTTGATTTGAATCAACCAATGAAATCCCGTTATTAAAAATTGTGATTTTATCCCATGATTCAAATTATCGAATAAACATGTTTCAGTATACAGTATTTGTTTAACTATACAATATATCAAATATAGACATATACATCTATATAGAAAATTATTACACACACATATTTTGTACCATGAACAAATAATCCGTAGAATTGAATAATAATTAGAATTATACAATATAAATAATATTAGATATAGACCAAAAATAAATTAATTGAATTTTACAACATTTAACATGCCATACCTTATATACATGTATAATATGTTTTTACAGAAAAGTAAATATCGTACATCAAAAATGTAAAATTTTACCTCTGACAGAAAAATGTAATAAACCTTTTCTCATTAGTTGAAGAAAGAAGACTTTATAATTACTACTGAAAGCTTTGAAGAAATTCTGACGCAAATCAAAGAAGAAATGACAAAAGTTCTTAAATCAACAGAGGATGCTGCAACAAAAAAAGATTATGATGAGCTTGAAAAAAAATTTACTGACCTTGAAACACAGGTTAACAAAGGAAAAGAGGTACAACTTGACGTTTCTAGTGTTTGTTAGTTGATAAATCAGTAGATGTACATATATCCATGGTTTAAAGGGCACTTATGTTTGTATTGTAGATAATAGTATACGCTTGCAGAAAATAAGGCTAACAAGTTTTGTTGTTTTTTTTTTTAATTTTATTATGCCTCCTTGATCCGCATGCATATTGGAGGGCATTTAGATTTGCCTTTTTCCTTCCTTCCTTTTGTCCGTCCGATCGTGCGAATGCGTGCGTTTTCATGTTGAGTCACATGAAGGCTGCGGCTCTTTAAAGGTTTAAGCTATTTTCTTTAAAGTTTACAGAATGTTATTTAGCAATTCTTCTAAGGACATATTTCTAGTTCCGTTTATATACACATTTTCAGACAGAAAGCACGGAAGACAGATTGTCAACATACCAGCTCACCTAGAGAAAGTTGTGCCAATATTTAAGCTGGTATGTTGACAATCTGTGTTCCGTGCATCATCAACATAATTTTCTTCAACTGTTTGCTTATAAACTAAAGTTGTATTTTGACCAAAAATAAATGATCATTACGTGATCACCTATCAGTGTTTTTAAAAAACAATGACGGTATAGAACATTACTATTTATTATATAACATAATAAATATGTCCTTTACAGTTACATATATAGTAACATTTTCCGATGTGTTAAGGTTGTTGTCTTGATACCACTACCACTCTCGTCAGGGACTTTGAATTCTGTTCTGTAAGGAAGCTCCAGCTAGCTTGTGGAATGTTGATGATTCTACTCAAGTGCCCGCAAGTGCCCGGAATATGCAAGTAAAGCTGGAAAGTCACCAGTATGCCCATTACAGTGTTGATGCAACATAAACCCGATCAAAAATCATAATGGTTTTACTCTAGTACTCAAAAACCTAGAGCTTAGCCATTTGACACAAAATGTAATCTAGTAGATCTTTACCAGCCTAAATGGAGCAGTAGAGTGTATAAATGGGAATTATGAAAAAAATCAAGTGTATTTTTCTCTGAAACAACTGTTGCCTCTAATGTTTCTGGATACATTTAAAAAAATAAAAAAATTTACGTATCGAGGACTTTCAAAAATATAATTCGACTGCCCTTTCTAAATTTTAATATAAAAATGGGGTTATAAATTTTTAAAATTAAAACTTTTTCCCTTTACCCAAAATTTCCCGGGCCCCATTGGAAAGTAAAAATATAACGGACATAAAAACCCTTTGATCATTTTCAAAAACCCATAGAAACCCCTTTTTCCGCCCCTTCCCCCGTCTCCGTTTTTTCCCCTTAAAAGAGAGGTAACCATAATATAAATTTAAAGAAAGGCACTTTTTTTTCAATGACGAAAACCTTTAAACCCCAAATGGTTTTTGTAGTTATATCGTGACGTTTTTGTAAAAAAGACGTCATTTGGTCTTAAAAACGTCGAATTTTTTACATTTGTTCAGGGTCCCCCTGAAGGGGTTGTCAGTAAATATTATGATGCATGAACGTCTTGACGTGCTGGTGAACATTAAGTTTTGCTTGCATTTAGAAAAATCGGCGTCGGAAACATTATCAATGTTGCAAGAGGCTAAGCGGAATAACAGTGTTTGTCGTACGTAGTGTTTAGGTGGCACAAGAAAGTTTTCTAAGGAACACACATCCCTGAATTACGAACATAGATCCGGAAGGAAAAAGTCTGTGAAAGCGTCAAATGTCGCGTCAATTCAGTCAGCGCCTGATACGAATAGGTGTGGGAGCTTGCCGAAATTGCTTATGTGAGCATAGGAACTGCGCATAGCATACAAACGAAAGATTTAAGCATGAGAAAAGTAAGAAAATATCTTAGTGTTGAATAATCCTAATAGAAGTTTAATAATTTACGTATAACATATCGGCGTTTAAGATCAAAATAAAAAAGCATAATGAAAAATAAGAATTCGTTAATTAGATTTAAAACATTTATATTTCCTGCTTCAATGTTTTTCAGTAAAGAAGAAATGTATTTAGGTTATAAAATAATGAGAATAGTATCAACTTTATCTCTTAATACAATTAATTTATGTATTTCTTTATTAATGAAAGGTACATGCTAGATCTTGAAGACTATAAGATAGAGAGATGCATCAAAGAGTCTCAGAAAAGTGAGTGGTATGAAGAAATAATCATCAATTAGCGAGTTGAACGCGACCAAAGATATGCTCTGCATTCGGGAGAATATTTTGAAAAGCTATGAATGAGACAAGACAACATAGCAACGTTAACTGCGAGAACGACGTCGCTGACGTCGCAACACATCGGTGTGCAGGGGAAAAGAGGCGATAGTGCAAACATGACTTTCTTATAACTTGCTTATAACTTTAAAACTGTTTTATAAAATATATAATATATTTTCAGATTGCATTCAGAAATGAATGAACTTTGTTATTATGTATTGTATAGAACTGTTGAATGTATCAAATAAAAGATATAAACACAACCTCATTACATATTGAACAACCCATGTATTCACAACTAGTAGCATTGACCTTCACTGACTGTTTGACCTTTGACTGTCAACAATACCTTTTAACAACATGTCGGCATTAACCATGGAATAAATTTTGAACAGCCTTTACAGGAATGAATTTTTTCTAAACATATGTAAGTCACACAAGGTGAAACTATTTTAAGTGGAGCTATGTAAAAATCTCATGAGACACTAACATGACTTGAACTGCAAATTTTAATTTTTGAAGCATAAACTGCCCCCAATGTTATGAATCACACCCTTGATAAAAAAGCCCAAACAGCGGCTACATGGCTAAAGTGTTACATATTGTGTTTTAAATATTTACATGAGTGATGGAAATCAAAATCAAGGGTTAAATAGAGACATGCTGCGTGGCCACGTTTGAAACCTTTCCTTATATTGGAAAGTGACTTGAGTGAAGACCTTTAAATTATGCAATTTTAATGTTATACCATTCTTGCTTTCATCTCATATGAGTATTAATAACACAGAAATGAGCGTTTGAGAGGCTTTTTGTATTGTGGCAGTTATAGTTTATCGACCAACATTTCTTAACGGAGATTTTTACAAAATTTTACAGATATGATTCTTGGGTAACTTAAATGTGACCAAATGACGTTAGTAATGATTTTTTCCTAGTCATCTATCTCTGGTGAAAGATCATATACCATATTGTTCTTTAGTGCACGATTTGTTTTGAGAAGGCTCATCTGCAAATTTTATACTTTTCAACTAAAGGCTACTGCAAATAAGAAAATTAAAAAAGAGAGGCACACCAATGTGAAAAGGGTATCATAATAATTATGGATTATAGATATTGAATATTTATAATACTTTATACAATAAAGATATTTGAAAAGAACCAAATAAAATATATTTAATTGTTTCATTTTTTCTATTGTAGGAGATAAAAAGATTCAATGTAGAAGATTCTCTTCAACAAAAACTGATAGAATATGAAACAGCTAAATCAGGTATGTTATTATCTCCCCGCCAAAAGCAAATATGATGTACGATTTCTTCTTTGTTAATGTGTCCCTGTGGGCATCCGCACTACTTGAAATAGATACTGGGTCAACAAACTGTAAAGAGAACACCAGAGCACGGTACATTACAATTGTGTTAAATGCCAATGGCCCTAACATAAAAAAATAACCATTTACTGTTTCAGTCCCATATCTGTGCGTCCGTCTCAATTTTTTACCACGTGTTTGACCCTTTTTCTATTTTAAGCAAAGTGACCTTGACCCAAGGGGGTTCAATTGCAATCATAACAGGGGTCTTCATAAGCGTGCTATATACGTACCATGTTTGATTAAATATTATATTTGAAAAAAAATCCATTTCATTTTGACAGTGGCATTGCGATAACTTTGATCCTTGTCGCTGGCTCTTGTTGCTGGATCGTGTGGGGGTTGCGTTCATTGAACGCCGCCGTCTCTTGTTGATTTTGTTTATCAGATTTTAAGTTTTCTTGTAAATGAGGACACTTTAACGGGTACTGAAAGCTATATCTATTGTGTTATTTTTACACTAATAGATATTAAAATATGTTTTTATTTAAAAGAAAATATGAGACAGCCACTTGTTAATCGTATCGGAAAGTACGCAACGGCGAGTAATACCATTTTTATTGAAAACGGGTGCCTGACAGTAATTTTGATTTTGGTGATAAAGGGAGATTATTTTATGATAGTTTGACATTATGGCAAGTCAAAAGCGTAGACAACCTGTACTAATAGTCAAGTACTCCAAGATTTCTGTTGATATTTTGATACCTTTCAAAGATAAAAAATAATGTAGCCCTTAACCCAACACACATTTTAGAGAGCGGTGGCCTAGTGGTTTAGGAGTCTGCCTCTAAACCAAGGTATCATGGGTTCGAGCCCTAATCGGGTCACGACGACACCAGTACTTGTTGGTTCCAGGAAGCGGACTCGAAAGTGATTAATATTAATTGCAAGACATTGTTTCGCAATCGAGCTTGAAAATAAAAATGTTTTAACCAACCAATCCAACAAATTATGTAAATATAATATCCTTACCTTATGGTCAAATTTCAAATGTCAGACTTACAAACTCAATCAAACCGAGTCTGCAATTCTCTTCTAATTTTGTTTTGATTAATGCTTCCGAGGGATCACTACTTTGTTTCCAGAATTTACATTAAATAGTTTATCCAAAATATTGACTTTCATATAGCGATTGAATTGAAAATGTTGAACGATAAGGCATATAAAAGCATGTTAAAAATGAAAAAGACTGCCTCGCACTTCACTTCTTACTTATAGAGCAGCACCAATATTTCCGAAGGATATTTTATTTTACATCCGTGTTATTTGTGTCGTGTGGAGGCTGTTAAAAGTCTCTCCGCACTTTTAATCAATGTTGTTATATTGTAGATCCTTGAAGATCGTTCAGCGCAACATTATTGTTGTGTAAACATGTTATGTGGTACTTTTAGTTTCTTCTTTTGGCCTTTCTTCATAACCTCAGATCCCCTATCAAAATCCCATTTTCATTTAGTTCCGCCTATTGTTTTCTCGTTTAGTGCAAAAGCATTCTTTTACTTGGGGACCATACGCGGCTTTTCATGGAATGGCGCTACTGTGTCACATTGAAGGTTCCATGATAACCGCCGTATGAACACATCTGCAGATATCTCTTAATTAAAAATTTCACCATTTTCGTGTTAAATTTTGAATTCTGCTGAAGCTAGGGGCGTGGACGGTAACTTGCACATTCCAGTACCGTCCATGAACAGGCTCCATCAAAACGATCCCGCAACATTTTCAATTTTGTTGTGTTGGAATTTTTTTGGGGATTCTGTTTTTCTCTATTTTAATCTGCCATGTTGCAGTCTGAAACAAAATATGATAAACAAGATCAACAAGGAAAGGCGGCGTTCAATGAACGCAGCCCCCACCCGACCCAGTAACAAGCGCCAGTGGCAAGGAGCCCAGGAGGCCCCCAAACAAAAACAGGACAGGGCACAAGGCAGATCACATTGATTTGACCTAACATATATTTTATCTTGTTTTTAATGTTTTATTAATGTTATAGATTATTTTAGTGTGTTCAAACATATGGATATTATATAACATGAATAACAAGATCTCAAAAAATAGATAAATGCAGAATCCCAGAAGAACGCCCAACACGACAAAATCGAAAATGTTGCAGGCTCGGTTTAATTGCCTGTTCATGGACGGTACTGGAAAGTGCGAGTTACCGTCCACGCCCCCTAGCACCAGCTTAAGCAGAATTCAACATTTAACATGAACTGGTAAAATTTAGAATTTTGAAACATCTGCAGATGTGTTCATATGGCGGTCATCATGGAACCTTCAATATGACACGTTCGTGCCATTCCATGACAAGCGGCATATGGTCCCCAAGTAAAAAAAATGCGTGTGCCCTAAACGAGAAAACAATGGGCGGAACTAATTAAAATGGAATTTTGAAAGAGGATCAGAGGCTATGAAGCCTGCATATCACAGATAAGACGTCAAAAGACAAATTTAAAAAGCAGACAACCTATCCTAAGGGTTATTCAACATTATTCAAGTAGGAATATTGGAACCAATCAAATAGAAAATGCCGAAAAGTTGAAACTAAAACTACCACAAGCGCAACAATAATGTCGTGCTGAACGATCTTCAAGGATCGAAAATATAACATCATTGATTAAATGTACTGGGAGACTTTTTACAGCCGCCACACGGCACAAATAACACGGATGTGATCATGAAATAGATAAATACAGAATCTCTAAAGAACGCCTAACACGACAAAATTGAAAATGTTTCAGGCTCGGTTTGATTGAGCCTGTTCATGGAAAGTGCAAATTACCGTCCACGCCCCCAAATCTAAAGCGGATATTTTTACCGTCAAACTGTTCCTGAACGGTCGGACATTGATTTTTGGTATTCATATTCTAAACAAAGTAACCACTTGTTTTCATTTGCTAAATGATTTTAATTGTTATATTATGAAGCACTGTAAGTAATTGTATATTAAACAAAATCGATCAGTTACGTGCACTAATGTTGCATGTAGAAGCGTAAACTATGAGCTGATTTCAATCGGATTCCGTGCACTCTATCATTCAGTTATCAGCAAGACAAATATTACTAGTACAAACACATACATAAGAATGAATGTTCATTGGTTAAAATTTATCTTCATAAGAGTTTGCAAATGATTTGAAATTCACTTCAGTTCTTCTTGGAAGAAATATATTTATCAAAATGTTTCTCTGGTCTACTGAAACAGTAACACGTTTTTGATTGTCATGGCAAACGCGTACAAGTAGTCGAAAAATTGACCCACTTTGCAAAGTTTAAGAATGTTCCTTGAACAGAGTTGTTTTAAAGCTTGGTGAGTGCTAGTCATTCAAAAATCGCATTTTACATTATTAAAAACATATACGACGTATTATACAAGAACACGACATGAAGCGTTAAAATTAATTAGTCTAAGATTTTTTAACAAATTTGTTGAAATAATGTCTTTGAATATAAATAACATTATTATTCTTCATAGCAAAATCTCTTAGAATATTAATCAAAGCACTTAGTTTTATGATTAAAACCATGACAAGCATTGTTAAGTGTTTCTTTAAAAACTGTTATAAAGTTAAAACTTGATCAAGGGGTCAATTGTTATGCATGTATGAATTATTATAAATGTCTAGTACTTCTGCATAACCCTGCGTTTTCTTATCGCCACTAATATCAGTACTCAGTCAGTATTCGTTATTGAAATTGTACATATATTATCTGCCACTTATGTTAATTGTCTTTTTGAACTTGTATAACAATGTTTTTAGGTGTGCCACTAAAATTATCCTTTTCTAAATCTATAATATTTGCGAAAATCGTTCTATATCAATGGGCTGAAGCCTCCTCCTTGTAAAAGAAAAAAATTATACCTTGCATTCTGCTCCGTAATATAGAATTGTTCCAAATGAAAGTGTGAGTGTTAATACTACCAACATAATTATATTTAATTGTGAGGCCATAAATCGTATAATGTCTCGTTCGCTTAAATGTTTGGGATTCGAAAATCTGATTTTCATTTATACTATTTTATTTATGCATATTTGCAGCATTTTTTCTGGCGATAAAGTCTATCTAGGAAAGATGCGAAGATAAATACACTGTCTAGTAGTATCAAATAAATTAGACTGAATGAAACATAAACAAAACAATATAAACGTGCCTTTTTTAGTTTTCCTCTATATTTTTTGTGGTTTTTTTCGAACAAAATGAAAGTTCACGTGGTTTGACTTTTTTCCCCTTTTTATATAGTATTAAAAAGAAACAGATATAGACTGATAGCCACAAATGATTATTTGATACACATGTCAAGTGTTAAACTGAAATAAGGTTCGAATCCATATGACTGTGTGATGAAATATAATTAATATAATTATATATTATATAAATATTAATATATTAATTATATAGTGTAACTATAGCATTTGTAAAAACTTTATATTAAATGTGGATTTGTATTATTTGAAAAGTACATAAAAGGAAATAATAATACATTTTTTTATCATCTGTTCTTTTTATCAAATTGAATTTTCGAGTTATAACCTGATTTGATTTATTATTCTCCCCTAAAGGTGGGTATTTAGTCGCTGCTTTGTCCGTCCGTCCCCTTTTCTTGTCTGAGACATTACTCATAACTATAAACTATGTGGGTATATAGATCTCGTTTAGTAGAAGAACTGTAAATTTGTCTTGTTTATTCTGGAGTTATTGACTTTCGTTTATTTTACACTTTGAACATTGTCCGGAACATAACTCGAAAAACACAAAGGGAATCAATAAGAAACTTTGTAGGTAGGCATATCTTATGAATAAAATCTCATAAATATGCAGTGCAAAGGAACCGTAATTCTGCCTTGTCTTCATTTTGAGTGTTTGCTCTTTGTTCATTTATACACTTGAAATAACGTTCGGGAGATTATTCTGAAGCAAAAAGAGATATCAACAAGAAACTTTGTAGGTAGATAGATCTCATTGAGTAGAGGTACAAAAGAACAGTTACTCTGCCTTGCCTTATCTTTGAGTTATTGTCTTTTGTTTATTTTCACACTGTGAACTTTTTCCGGGACATAACTCTAAAACTTCTAAGAATAATATTAAAAAACAACTTCTCTGTGTCAAAAACCTATTCGGGTAGCATCACTCGGGTCGAACGGCTCTTGTATTTCAGGGCTAAAAGAGGGCTTGGTTCAATTCTACAAAACAAGACACAGTCAAATTTTCCTGTCGCCTCTTTTTGATGAGAAAGACACTCCGTTGTCCTCTTTCTATATCAGGCCGGAATTAAGCTCAAATGTCTCAACACAGACGGGTAATGTTGAAAAGATACTGTCGTTATCGGAAATTTTTAAAACTGGAAATCAAGAAATATGTGTACTCGCTGATGCAGGGCTGGGAAAAACTGCCTTTTCAAAATATTTGGCTACCGTTTGGTGTCAAGCTCACAAACCAGACGAAAACATGAAAGAAGAATTGTCAAAGGATGATATAGACTGTATGCAAGAATTTGATTTCTTATTCCTAGTCTTACTGCGAGACTCGGATGATTTATGTTCAATAGATGATCTTATCTTTGAAAACATTGTTGAATGTTTGGGTCTAGAAGAAAAGCTTTCCGAAGATGTCCTGCTTAAAATTTTGAAAAATGAGAAATGCCTAGTAATACTAGATGGACTAGATGAATGGACTCACCCAGACAAGAAATGTTACAAAAAGCCACGATCGATCCCCCATAGGAAGGACCGGGAAAAGTGTACAATACTGACAACCACGCGACCATGGAAAATAGGTGTTTTGAATCTAAATTCGAGTCAATTAGGAAAAAAGGTAGAACTTACAAAACTAAGCTACATCTCGGCAATGACACTTTCAAAAAGGATAATTCAAAGATTGAAGTTTCACCCGAATAATGATGCATTACAAAATGACGTCAAAAAGTTCATAGAAGCAATCAGAAAGAGAGAAAACGCCGAACTTGCTTATGTACCTCTACTGTTAATATATACAACTTGTTTATGGTGCGAAGGTGTTCAAATAGAAAATTTCAAATGTGATCTCTATATAAATATAGTCGAGCTTTTGTTATCGAGAACAACTAAGATCCACGGGGAGCTGAAACTATTGCGGAAGCTTTCTTCCAGTGACATCCCAGAATGCTTTGCTAAATATGATAACTGTACGAAATACTACCCACTCCTTATGTACTTAGGAAAATTAGCTTATTGTACATTATTCAATGAAACAAAAGAAAACACCCTAGTATTTGATGGATCAATTGCTGAAAAATATCTCACAAAAAACGAGATGACATTCGCTCTTCAATCTGGAATGTTGTCAGAAAGTACATCTAAATCAGCAAGGGAAATGTTAAGTAAAGTATCGTTTTCCCACAAAACAGTTCAAGAATTCTTTGCCGCCATATTTATAAGTTCTCATAGTGACGAACAGAAAAATGTTGTAGAAAAATGTAGACATGTTCAAGACATTCTGGATATGTCAAAAATTTATGAATTTATGAGTAGATTGAATGCTGACAGTATATGTGCAATATCAAATGATTTGATGTTTGTGATAAATGAAGACGAGACAACACGCAACTATAGAACTGACACAGATGACACGCAAAAAGGTTTCGGTAGTCCATTGTATCACATACAGGAAATGTTCATGTCGTGTTTACAAGAAATGCCTGAAATCAAACATATTCATTTATGTTTACAAGATTTTTTCATTGACCACTTAACCGTGCATAGTAAGCAGTTACAACATTTGTTAAAACAAAACAAAACCAACATAAAATCACTTGATATTAACACTATGTTTCCTTCCACCCGTTTAAGTGAAAGTATAGATTTATTCTCTCTCAAAGATCTCGGTAATATACAGAAACTTTGTTATAGAAGTAACGGGCAAAAGGTGGCTTGGATAAATCTGTTATTGTTTCCAAGTTTACAGAACGTTACTTTGTTAACGGGTAAATGGACAAATGATGAAATTGAAAATTTTGTGCGATTACAAGACTTGCAATATTTAAATATTAGCCTTTTCAAGTTAACTCACAAAATGCTGGAAACAATTTTAAATTTTATCGCCGGTCAAAAATCAATGAAAGAGATAACATTGAGCGGGGTAACCTGTAAAGAACACCACTCCGGTTGTATGAGGTTGAACATGGACTTTTCGCAACATTCAACTCTAAGAAAGTTATGCTTTGGGGCGATGTGTGGGATACAATTAAATATAACAACACCGTCATTAGTTGATGTTGAATTAGGGGGAATGATTCTAGATGAAAGTTCATGGTTACTGTCACGTGACATGTTGAATATTGAACGTGTGGAGTTGTTGTCGATAGCATTGCCTCCAGGAAGATTACAGAACGATATTAACCTGCTGGAAAATCTGCCGAAGTCAGTCACAGTAAATCTGGTACAGGTGTACCCAGAAATAGAATATGCATTTGTTATAGAACACATTCGGAGGTCAAAAGCTTTTCACGTGATACAAGAGGACTGGCGTGGGTTTAAGTTCAAAACAAAAAAATAGACCAGCAAAATATTTGTTAAATAAGCCGAAGATTTTTTTTAATACTAAAAAAATGTAAACGGACAGTGAAAAAATAATGGCACTTTGAATTATTTTTTAGTTTTAATTAGGACATACTTGTACTCCCGTTTTCAGATAAATTATTTGACAATTGTTTTATAAATAAAAACATTTAAATGATAGACATAATTCAAGGAAGGTTTTATGGAACTCAATGAATATAAAATTTTGATAAGGATATGGAATGTTTCACAGGTAAGAGACTTTATATTGAGTTTTTATTGCAACCAGTCAAACTCTCACACACACATAGTTTTTTCTGAATATTGTGTCCAGCATTATTTGCAACCCAATGAAAACGATGTATTTCTAATTAAAAATGTGTGATGATTTTCATAAAGAAAAAAAAGTCAATAATATATCAAACTCCGTTCATATTAGCCTTCTATTTTTCATAGTGCTTCATAGAACCGCGTTCCGAAAATAGTTGTCTCGGTAAAAAGTGAATATTATTGAAGCTAAATAAAGCTTGACCCTAACTATGTTAGTATTCATAGCTGTTCTACAGAAATTAGAAACATTCTCCAGTCGCTATTTCTCGCGTCGAAGTAGCTTAATTCTGTAGAGTAGCACGGATGAACACTAACATATACATAGTAATTGTAGGTAAAATAAGCTATATATTTGTTTTTCAATAAAAAAAATGATTCGATAAACATTACATAAGTGTGTGTGTGGGGGGAGGGGGAAGGGGGGTGCGTGCGTGTGTGTGTCTGACTGTCTGTCTATGTGTTGTTGCTGTTTTTTCTCAACGGGTTATTTTTTCCTTATTCTCGAAATTTAATGGTATCAATTGCTGTAGTAACATCTTATTTGTCCTTTTTACAATCAGCCTTAAATTAAGTATAATTTTGCATTTAGAAAATATAATTTGTTACCTGCTTCATGAAATATATTTAGTTGAATTCGTTTTTTTTTCTTTTTATCAAATCATAGCAAATTAAAGACGGCATATTTCTTAACTTTTGTATTATGTTTCGTTTGGTGAAAAATTTGAGTATCATAATAATAAGATATGTGCGATTTTACCTTACCTACACATAGCGCTCACCTGAACCATTAGGGTGTTATCTTAGATATTTTGCTTGTAGCGTTGTAAAGAGGACCTCTACATACCAAGTATATTCAAGTTAAAGCCCAGGGTCATTAATTGATAGAATTTATAGCAAATTCCGACTTTCTTTGGCAACTAGTGACGTTCATGGCGACCTGTGACACTCAAAACAACGGTTACCATTGACGTTTTATAGCAAACAGTGACTTACATACTTATCGGTTTTTATCCATTCAACTTTCTTGTAACTTTTTAATTTTCAAGTGACTTTAAATAGCAACCAGTGATTCAATTGCAACTACGTACATTCATTATAACCGTTGATTTTACCTAGCAATTTGTTAGTTCAATTGTCTTTACTTTGCAACGACTTTCCTTAGCAACTAGCGGCTTCAAAAGCTAGCATTGATTTTGTTATGGTATTCGTTTTGGTTAATTATGTTGTGCACTTTTGTACTGTACTGAGTCTGTACTCTTTTTAAATTACATGGTTATAGAATTATCATCTAAAAGTTAATGGATTAAAATAACTACATGCCATTACAATACCGTAAAACAAGTCGAGGCAAAACAACAGTGTTTCTTTGTTGCTATATATCCGTGAAGGCAATTATGCAAGCACTCGGCCATTTTCATTATAATACATTGCAAAATAATGAAAGCATATTTAAAACAGTGACATCAGTAGGAATCAAACCAAACACTTTCATGAACATTATATCACAATGTCACTAAACTGACTTTGCTATTACAGATGTGACGACGCCAATACATTTAGCTAATTTGACCTACTAAACATTAGTTTTATACCCCATACTAATTCTCGTAAACTACACGGACTTAACAGACATGGGATTGAGTATTTAAATGAGTGCTATAATATATCCATATTTGACAGGGCAGTGCAATCAGGCTGTAGTATAATCTATTGTCTACACTGCAACGCAACTTTATCTTTTAATTCGCTTATTTGTCACTGTTCAGCGTTTTCCAGCAATCAACTTCAGTAAATTTACAGTGACTGTGATGACAATTAATATTCAATATAAAGACTTCAATCCCGGTAATTGGCGAAACAGAAATACAGCCGGAAGAAAATTGTTTACAGATGTTGCATCACCAATACTTTGTATAATCTCCTTGCACCTGGCTTAAACGAAAACAGACCAACAAACGTTTGTATCGGTTGTACCATATACATTTCTTTTTGATGAGAAGTTACTTTAACCAAGAGCACTTAATAACTGTCACTATTTGAGAATTCCTTAAAAGTATTACTTGAATGTTTGAATGACACTCATAACTTAAAACCGTGTTGTTTTTTTTCTCATGACATGACTGGGAAATTTTCAAGACTAATGCGCCATTTGACGAATAAAAAGATAAATAAATTGCATGCAAAATTTCAAACATTTTGCTTATTCCGTTTGTTTTTTAGGTGATCTACGTAAGAAATTTAAGATTTGTGTGTTTTAAGCTTTTTGACCTCGGTGGAGTTTCTTCAGGAAATAAAAATGAGTTTTTTTTGTACGGAAATCGAATTTTATTAAAGGAAGTCTGAATAAATAACTTTTATTATTTATCAATTCGTCTTCTTTATAAGTTTTTATTATCTTATTTAAGTAGATATGCATGTATAACTCTCTTGTGAAAAATAAAGACACATATAATTAGGATTATTGGAAATACAGAGAAGGGCTAATGCTGATATCACATAAATCGTTCACGTCCAATATTTTTCAGAAAATTGCAACATTGAAGAAATTCAGCGCTACACAATGTTAATAATCCGCACTCTGTCACCAGACTAACGTTTTCTTTTTGTATCTTGATTGACGTAATTGATACATGGAATATGCTCCATAACTCCCTTCATTGTATTGTAAACAACTTTCAATAAGCTTGAGGCGTTCCAGCGGGGTCAAATGAGGTTAAACACTAAGTCAGTTAGTTTTACTAAAGTGGAAAAATTAACAATTAAGTACCCACGGTCGCGTCCCTTTTGGTTTTAAATTGTTAATATTTACTAAATTAACACTAACATGTGCATAGCAGTTTAATGCTTTGAAGCCTTGAATTCCCGGATAAAAGTTTTATTTTAATTATAGTTTTTTTTCTTTAAATTATCTGCACAAACCATTCCAGTTTGATTAAAAGAATAAAACAAAATGTACATATTTACAAATATAATTTTACGTGAAAAAGATGTGCCTTTAAGATAGATAGATTAAGATGTATATAGATCTAAATTTTTGAGTAACTGTACAGAATATCTTATTTGTCAAATTATTGTGTTTTTTGGCACAGATAATTACATGTATTTTTGTGACCTTTGTATATATTATATAGGAAAGTTACATATATTCAGGTAACATAGCATACAAGAATACATTCAGAAGGATGAAAGTTGATCCATTTATACATAATATATACATTTCATATTTTTTATCATCTTTGTTTCTGTTTGAAGTAATGCATACTTCGGTATGATGTTGGTTTATATTAATATTATGTTGCAAAATGACTATTTTGTTATTTCTATAGCATCACAAACTGGTGAACTTAATTGACTTTTTGTAAATTTGTTACGTAAAATGTATGTAACATCTGTTATATGTAAGACTGAATACACAAGCGTCACAACACTTTATGGGTGGCGTTTAGACTACCCTTGTCCGTTTGTCGGTCCGGACGAGCATTCACTTTGGGTTACGGGGCTATATAACGTTAAGGATAACAAAAGAGCTATGTGCTAGTAGACCTTAAGCAGACCTTAAGAAAATAACAACGAAAATTACCCCTAATCACAAAATGTTCGAATGTCGGTCCTTCCGTCCGTTCTCCATGTTGTGTCGCATGTAATTCAAAAAGTATTTGACTAGAGTCATGAAACTTACAGGAATGTTGTTCAACGTGTGACGTTGTAAACCTGGGGTTTCAAATTAGGTCGTGTGTAACTCAATATGTATTTGACCTCAAGTTATGAAACTTTGGTTGGCATGTGTATTTGTGCACCTAGGGTTCGAATGTGAATTTTGTCAGTGTAAAGTGTAATTGCCATTGACTAAGTAAAAACTGTTCCATTATGTTGTGTTATGTGTTTCTTGATCGGTAAGTTAGAATCAACCATATTTACAGGAAAAAAGATCACCATCACTGTGAAACTGTGCACCTAGGGTTTTGCATGTTTTACAAGAATGAAAGTTTACAATAATGATAGTCAGCATGTGCACCTATGCACCTTTGTGTTTGCTTGTGGATTTATTCAGTATTTATAAAATTCGTTCTGTTGACTTAGTTAAACATTTTTTATTTTTTAACTTGTGTCAAGTGTCGCCCAAAAATATTCGAACCAGACTCATAAAATTGACAAAACATTACCGTGTATGGCCACGCGTGTCCTGTGGACACATTTCTAGTTTTTGTTATGCTTGAAACACATGGTGCGTCTTTTAATAATAAGAAACCTTTTTATTTTTGCGGGTTTGCATTTAAGCGAAGAATATATTGTTAAAAGAAATAATGATAAATCATATTTTTTTTTTTTATATTATTTGAATTTCATTTTCATAATGATTTAGTATAGAGAACATGTATCTTCTGTTTATTTAGTTCCCATGAAACCATGGTGCTAGTGATAGTTTTTATGATTTTGGCTGTCCCTCGTCTTTCTGTGTTATTTTATAACTTTATTTAACCCTGAAACCATTTGGGCAGATCTGAGAATCTTTGCGTAGGCTATTCCTTGCATTAAGATCATTAAAGTTTGAAGAATTTCTCTGAGGCAAGCGCAAGTCCTAGAGTTTAGACATTTGGTTTGTAGCGTTTTATAACAAACTTTAACAAATTTGTTCATATCAAGCTGTTGAGTCAGATTTGTCCCTATCCCGGGGTTTTATTATATATAGCCAGAGTTTCAGACTGTCGATTTCAATCTGCCTTTGTTCTGCAAGATACTATAAAAAAAAACTAACGAGTACGAATAAGCGCTAATGATTTGAATGAGCAAAGAAATCTACAAACGCCTGAAATACAATCTTATTTATATAGAAAAATCTTTCAAAATTGTTAAAGGTCAATGCTCAGAAGCGTGCAGCGATAATAAACCAGAGTTTCTTATAACTAATTTTAGGTGGACAGTTTTTTTTAACAAAATTTAATAAAAGAAAAAAAATGTTATTATAATTATAACGATAATACTGTAAGTACTGACTTTTACAATTTTCGATGTTAAAACATATTTTATTATTTTGTGAATTTATGTTGACAGCTTTTTTGATATCATATTCAATATATTTAATAAAATTGAAATTATGAAACAACATCGATTTTTATTTTCAGTTGTTATATACGTTAATTTGTAACGTTGTAAGGTGCCCTTAGGATCTGTAGCTGTTCCTCCTGTGGCAAAGATCATAATGTGGTACCACTACTGGGTAGTCCAACAAAAGATCAAATTCTACAAATGTTTACACAATTGACTAAATGTACACTGTATTTTCAGAAGTATTTGAAGTTGTAAAAAAGCAAAGTGGTGAACAGAATATGTTTGAATTACTTATTGATGAAGGTTCAATATATATTAAAAAAGGTCAACAATGATAGAAACATATTGACTTATGAGATCTTTAAATATGAGCCAATCAAACTCTGCCGATTATTAAAGTACCTACACAAAAACTGACCGTATAATAAATGTACCTATATATAAAAGAAAGGTAAGATTGCCGCAATATGAAGGCACCAGTATCAGTGTAGCAATACCACGTGACCGTGACGTCATTTTTGACATCATTTCCAAGAGAAAACCTGCACGCTTCAAAGGGGAAAATGGTCTTAAGTATTTTATTTCTACACCAATTTCTATGGAATATGCGCCAGTCTACGAGGAAAAATATTAGCTTTCCGCGGAATATTAGATGTCAATTTGTAGAAGAGCCATTTAATCAAACACAATTTATAACCTTGGAAGTTGTTTGTATACGAGCGGACTGCAGTTGCAATACCGGGAATATCAAAGGCAAAATCTTGCATTAATATTTCTATTTTGTTACAATTTATGGCGTAAATCTTACCTTTTCTCAAATTGTAAATTCTGGCACCAGTTAAAAGCCAAAATAAACGGACTACAGTTTAAAGCAGTTTTCAGAATTAACTGAAAATTCCAAGCAGCATCTTTTTCTATAATTGTGTTAGCTACGGAAGCTAAATTCAATTCTGATCATATGGTTAAGTGTATATAATATGAATTTCTTGATATGTGCTTATAAATCTTAATTTATTTTACAATTTATTAAGTAGCAAGCTCGTTTAGGATGTGAGAGGTATGAGGTTCAAATCCCAGTCAAGGGACTATTTGAAGTGTCGTTTTAGTGTGTTTTATATTTTTAAACTTGGTTACTTACATAATAAGATATTTCTTTATTTAAGCTTATTGAATTTCCTACATACGAGCACTGGTTTTACTTGCTGGAAAAATATGTCGTTTTTAACCATGTGAACAGGGGAGTTTCTTTGACGCTCATGCATTTATCTAAGACCGAGAAAACGTTAAACACATTGAATACTCGTTACTTATAGTCACTCGGTACAATGTATAACTCCAAAATAAAAACAAAGACATAGATAATAGACATAGACATTTTTCATATGCAAAAATAATTCTTCTGAATATGACAGGGTGATTTAAATTTGAGCAAAACTTGAAAGATGGTAAGTGGCACTAAAATAAAAATAGCAATAAAAATCGGATAATGAAATTCTTATAGGTGACCATTAGGGTCCGTAACCCTTAATACAATTTTTCTTATACAGGTTAATAGTTTGCATGTTCCCTCTTTATCTTCCATTATTACTTAAAATATTATATTATTCCTTAAATATTTTATCTATTATCTATTTTACATTGTCTCTCTCTCCATCCGTCCCTCATTCTCTCTCTCTCAAACAAAACCCCTGAGTGGACACAAGGGCGGCAAAAGGAGAGGGACATGTAATATGTGAAATAATATAAACTAAAACGGACTCATATGGGAATCAAATGAATAAGGCCGCTATTCCATTTATACGTGATCAGTGGTCCGCGTCCGTCATCCGCGTCCGGAAATGATTCGCTAATCAAAGAATACGTTGAACCTATTCCTTTTGTCCATTTACCATCCGCTTCCGCGACGGCATCAGCGACGTTTCGCGGGATGAGCGAATTTTTACGGACGCGGACAGTCACCGGAGAGATCCCGACAGGACAAGATGCCACGAACGAAGATAAATGCCATGTTAATTTCGAAAAATAATACAGAAAAGCTCATCGAAATAGTGCGAGAGATGATGCATCTCTATCAGACTATAAAGACACGCTGGTGATAAAAAACATATGGTCTTCGGTAGCAAAAGAGATGAAAATCCAAGACTTAACTGGTATTTAATGTTTGTTTCTTGATGGTACAATTATTGTTCATTTTATACAAGACATTTTCTTAGTTTTCTATGTTACAATTAAAGATTTGCATAGTTATCTGTTGCATAAATCAATAAAGTTTATTATTCAGAGTGACATCACTAAACATAAAGAACGACCTACATCATGTCTTTGTATCTCTTCATTT